AAATATCTTTATAATCTTACTATCAGTTTGAATTTCTTAAAGCTTTATACAAACAATAAAGATAAAAATTGACAAATATTACTACCTCAAAACCAGAAGATAACATAGGCAAGCCAGAAGGCAGGGAGAAGCTACTTGGAGCAGTTCAACTGAGAAGGATTAATATTCAGATGATTCAAGTAACTGTTGCAGATTAGCAAAAATCAAAAAGTCAGAGAGCCAGTAAGGTTTTTTTTAAAGGATAAAAGGGAAAGGAAATTCAAAAAAGGGAAAACGAAGTCTGAAAAGAACATGAAATGATGCTTGACCTCATTAGTTGGTGAAAAACATACTAAAATAAGACACTACTTTATACCCATAGCATTAGTAAAGATGAGACATTTGCATAATATCAAGTGGAGCAATAGGAAATCACATGTACAGCCCACCTTGAGAGATTTTTAATTGTATTTAGTGAAATTTAGAGTGAACATACCCTGTGATCCAGCAATTCTACTTTGGGGTATATAAGCCAGAAAATTCTTTTTTTTTTTTTAATTGAAGTATAGTTGACACACAATGTTATATTAGTTTCAAGTGTATAAGCCAAATAATTTCTTTCACAGCTTCACAAATGATATGCATAAGAATGTTCATCTTGGGAGAGCAAAGAATAGGAGTCAACCCTACATATCCATCAGTAAAGCAACTGGTAACTGAAATGTGGAAAATGTTTCTGAAGGTGTATTATGCAGTATTATCAAAAGGAGTGAACTAGGTGTATATAAAACCACGTGGATAAATCCCAAATGTTTTAAAAGGAAGAAAGATACTAAGATTTATAGTACAGTGCTGTATATGTCCATATAATACATAATATCTTATATTTGTACAAATATATAAATAAACATATTGGGAGGAGAGAAGGAACAGATGTGGGAAAGAAGTTGTGTTTATATATAGGAGAATAAAGAATGCAGAGAGAAGTGGGAGCTATACCAATGTCAATGACAGAAATTGTCTCTTTGAAGAGACTGTTTAAGTTGATTGCAGCATTATAGGGTTGATTTAGCATTGATCAGTTGAAGTTGGTAAAAAATGCATATTATTTCTCTATCTTCTTGAGATCAATTGCCCATACTCTAGAAAGCTAAGAGTTTACTTGTAATTTTGAGACAAGTCTCATTGAGACTTATTTGTAGTAAGGATGGTACAGATTGTGTAGACCCATGCTTCCATTGAAAACAATTAGCTGATAAGACACTAATATATTATCAGGTCACAATTAATGTCTAAGGGTAATCCAGAGAGATAAATGAGCTTAAAATCTACTTTTTCCCTAGAATATTTGGAATCCTGGGAAGTGTAAACCTCTATTTTGATGGTTTATATAATAAGGGAGGAAATAAAAGCATAACAAAGTAAAGTTCATAGAAGACCCTTGCATTAATAAATATGGATCCCTAAGAACTACTCCTTCAAGGTGAAAGTAAACGGGAAATGGATGAACTCTTGTGTGGAATTTCAGCCCTGAATTTGATTTTTTAGCACTGAACTTGATTTAACATAGTTGTTGACAAACGTAGTGCTTCCAGATTCTGATGGAACCAAATGCAGGCCTTCTATAAAAGAAAGTTCAACCTAAGGCTAAAAATATTCATATAAATAAGTTTTATATTCTTAACTTGACCACAAAGATAGCTGAATACACAAGGAAACATGACACCATGAGTGAGAGCCAACAGAAAAAAAATCAGAATACAGAAATATACTTCAAACATTTTAATTAGCAGACATAATCTAATAATATGCTAAACACTTTAATTGAAATAAAAGTTATGCTTAAAGATGTAAAGAGAATAAGAAATGTGATAGAATATTAAAGAACCAAATAGGGGCACCTGGGTGGCTCAGTCAGTTGGGCATCTGCCTTCGGCTCAGGTCATGATCCCAGGGTCCTGGGTTTAAGCCCTGCATCGAGGTCTCTGATCAGCTGAGAGCTTGCTTCTCTCCCCCAAGCCCTGCCTGCCGCTCCCCTGCTTGTGCTCTCTCTGTGTCAAATAAATGAATAAAATCTTGAGGGGAAAAAAAAAGAACCAAATAGAACTCCTAGATCTAAAAAATATAACCAAAACTTAAATTCAATCAAAATTGAATAAAAGGTTTAATGAGAAAGTAGATATAACTGAATAAATAATTTGTGAAGTGAAAGGTCAGAATATATCTAGCATACAGCTGAGAGAATTTGGAAGATGAAAAAATATGGAGGAGATGGTTAGAAATATAGGACAGAGTAAAAAGTTTAAGACAGGATCAGAAGCAATATTTGAAAAATATTGTAGGGTCACCTGGCTGGCTCAGTCATTGGAGCATGCAACTCTTAATCTCAGGGTCATGAATTCAAACCCCATGTTGGGCGTGGAACCTACTTAAAAAAAAATTCATATATATATATATGAGATTTTTCCAGAATTGATTAAAATGTCAACACACAGATTCAAGAGACTCAGATAAACCTGACAGGATAAATAAAAGATAAACATGCCTGGAAACATCATTGTGTAGTTTCAAAAAGCCAAAAACAAAGAGAATTTTTTAAATGAAAAGGCATACGGAAAAGACATATAATCTTTAAACACATGGCAGTTAGACAGACAGCTATGTTCCATGCTGACAATTTCTCAACAGTAGCACTGGAAATTAAAAGCAAGATATCTTCAATATGCTGAAAGAAATTAGAAAATCTTCCTGCCTTAAGAGTCATCAAATGAGAGAATCAAATGAGAGATATCAATTTGGCTTTAAATTAAACAAGATCATAGGAGAGAAGTGGTGTGAAGACATTTGATTTCTCAAATATAACTTCTTACAGTTTTACTCGGTCTATCCTTTGCCACAATTCTGGGTCTAGGAGTTTGACCTATCTCTGTTTCTAGCCTTCTTCTTCTCTGGTGACATTCACTTATACTCTAGTCTTAGTTACCTAAGACCATGGCCACTTTCTGGAGATGGTAGTCTCTTAGAGCTACATCATCTCTGAAATCACAAAATCAAGCATACTCCTCTTAATTTACAACTTACCTTCTTTCTTGAAGGGCTCCAACCACCACTTATACCAATAAATCCTAAATTTGTCTCTGCAGCTCAAACTTCTTTTCTCAATTTCATTTATGTAATGGGAGATCATTTATATAACTATTTATATGGGATGCTCTATGGACAATTCAAACTCAACATGTTTTAAATTTAAATGCTCCCTTCCTTAAAACTAAACATCCTTTCCAGCTCTATACTTCTTCCTCTCTTCTCCTTTTCCTGTTTCCTCTATTAGTTAATAGCACCAACACTCACTTAGTTCCCTGAGCCTGAAAAAAAGGTACATTTCTTTTCACTTCTTCTTATCCCACTCCCTCCATGTCTAATCTGTCACCACATCCTGTATCTTTATCATTTTAATATAAGACTATTACTGCATTTCTAGTTGAGGTCAATGTCATCTCCTTTTCTATTTAAAAGCCTTTAATAATCTTGCATTTCCATTGATGTAGAGTTCCAAATGCCTTGGAAGGGCTTACAAAATTATTTGCTTATCTCTCCAATCTCATTTCTTATTTCTTTTTTTTTTTAAAGATTATTTATTTATTTATTTGACAGAGAGAGACACAGCGAGAGAGGGAACACAAGCAGGGGGAGTGGGAGAGGGAGAAGCAGGCTTCCCGCTGAGCAGGGAGCCCGATGCGGGGCTCGATGCGGGGCTCGATGCGGGGCTCGATCCCAGGACCCTGGGATCATGACCTGAGCCTAAGGCAGACGCTTAACGACTGAGCCACCCAGGCGCCCCTCATTTCTTATTTCTTACCTCTTGCTCTATGGCTTAGCCATATTGATCCTATTTCAGTTCTTCCAAAAACACTTCTCTCAGCTCAGATTTGCACAATCATATTTTGGGATTATCTGGAAATTTTACCCAACAACCATTTTTTTGTTCCAGAAAAGTCTTTTCTGTACTTCCAAATGCTGGTTAGTTGACCCTTATCTATGCTCTTAGAATAGCATGAACTTTTGCTATCATGGTATTCATTATGTTCCATTTTTTTTAAGTTTTAATTTATTTTTGTTTTTGGGGGGGCAGAGGAAGAGGGAAGGAGAGAATCTTAAGCAAGCTCCATGCTCAGCAGGGTCTCATGACCCTGAGATCATGTCCTGAGCTGAAATAAAGAGTTGGATGCTTAACTGACTGAGCCACCCAGGCATCCCTCATTATGTTCTATTTTTAAATGTGTAATCACTTTCTGCCTCCATCTCTCAGGACAGAAACTGCTTACCACTCTATTCCTAACACTACCATTCCTAGCACAAGTATATGGTCAATAAATATTTGCTAGACAAAGTAATGAATGGATGAATAAAATATTTATGATTATGCCCCTGGAAGGCCTGGGTCTGCAAAATAGATCTTTTCTACAACTAAACTGGGATCTAGTTTGTTCAATTTTTTTTTAAAGATTTTCTTTTCTTTTTTTTTATTCTTATGTTAATCCCCATACATTACATCATTAGTTTTAGATGTAGTGTTCCATGATTCATTGTTTGTGCATAACACCCAGTGCTCCATGCAGAATGTGCCCTCCTCAATACCCACCACCAGGCTAACCCTTCCTCCCACCCCCTCCCAAGATTTTTTTTATTTTTTGACAGAGACACAGCGAGAGAGGGAACACAAGCAGGGGGAGTGGGAGAGGGAGAAACAGGCTTCCCGCTGAGCAGAGAGTCCGATGCGGGGGCTCAATCCCAGGACCCTGGGATCATGACCTGAGCCAAAGGCAGACGCTTAACGACTGAGCCACCCAGGCGCCCCAGAGAAAGTGTAATTTAAATTAATCAACAAATACACAAAATAAATTAATATTTTGTCCCAAACTTATTTGACTGTTTAAAACCTGAGAAGCTGCAGAGTCGCGTGGTGGCGCTGCAGGATAAGATGGGGACTTTTTTTGTACTATCCAATGCTCTGGTCTCCATTAATCAGTGGAACTGAGAGCACAGGAGAAGCAGGAAGGGGAAAAGAGGGTTTCGAGAGAAAGCTAGGGAGCCAACAACACCCTCGTGACAGGATTACAAGTCTATAGATCCCCAGTGGTCCAGGCTGATAGATGAGAGGAGCAATTTAGAAGCTCTTTGCGGCTGAGTTGAAACATTTCTGCAGAAACACGTTTGGCTAAGGAGCCATGGAGCCAAGAGAGAGGCGCCATCAGCGAATAAGGCAAGTGCTGCTTTTCTTTGTTTTCCTGGGAGGGTCTTTGGTGTGTTCAGAGCCCTGGCGCTATTCTTTGGCAGAGGAAATGGAGATCGGCTCCGTTATAGCCAATGTGGTGAAAGACATAGGTTTAGGTGTGGAAGATTTGGTTGCACGAGGGGCAAGAGTCATCTTTGACGACTATAAACCATATTTACTGTTGGATCAGCAGACTGGCAACTTGCTCTTAAATGAGCAACTCGACCGGGAGGCACTTTGCCACCTCACAGAGCCATGTATATTGCATTTCCAGGTATTATTTGAAAATCCTTTACAATTTTTTCGGGCTGAACTTTGGGTTAAAGACATAAATGATCATACTCCTGCCTTCCTAGACAAACACATACTTCTGAAAATCTCAGAAAGTACTGCTCCAGGAACCTCATTCCAAATGGACAGTGCTCAGGACTTGGATGTAGGAAAGAATGGTGTCCAAAACTATACATTAAGTCCCAATCCTTATTTCCACCTTAAATTACAAGCCAGTGATGACGGCAGAAAATACCCAGAGCTGTTACTGGACCAATTTTTGGATCGAGAAAAGGAGCCCGAGTTTAGATTAACGCTAACAGCCTTGGATGGCGGGTCTCCGCCCAGGTCTGGAACCACACTGGTTCGTGTTTTGGTTTTAGATATCAATGACAATGCTCCAGAGTTCGAGAGGCCTGTCTATGAGGTTCAGGTACCAGAAAACAGCCCTGTGGACTCCCTGGTCGTCCGGGTGTCTGCTACAGACTTGGATGCGGGAATATATGGAGAACTATCTTACTCATTTTCCCACGTCTCCACAGACATACGGAAAACATTTGAAATCCACCCAATTTCTGGTGAAATCCATTTAAAAGCTCTTCTGGATTTCGAGTTAATTCAGTCATATACAATAAATATTCAGGCCGTTGATGGGGGTAGCCTTTCCGGAAAATCAGCAATTTTAGTTCAGGTTGTGGATGTGAATGACAACGCACCAGAAATAGTCATGACATCTCTTACCAGCCCCATACCTGAAAATTCGTCACCTGAAATGGTGGTCGCTATTTTTAGCGTACGAGACCAAGATGCTGGGGACAACGGGAGGACGGTGTGCTCCATTCAGGATGACCTCCCTTTTCTCTTGAAGCCTACCTTCAAGAATTTCTACACCCTGGTGACAAATGGGGCGCTGGACCGAGAGAGCCAGGCCGAGTACAACATCACCATCACCGTCACTGACCTGGGCACCCCCAGGCTGCAAACCCAGCACCACATGACGGTGACGGTGTCCGACGTGAACGACAACGCGCCGGCCTTCAGCCACACCGCCTACACCCTGCGGGTGCGCGAGAACAACAGCCCCGGCCTGCACATCGGCCGCGTGAGCGCCGCGGACAGAGACGCGGGCGCCAACGCGCAGGTCACCTACTCGCTGCTGCCGCCGCACGACCCGCGGCTGCCCCTGGCCTCGCTGGTGTCCCTCAACGCGGCCACCGGGCAGCTGTTCGCGCTCAGCTCCCTGGACTTCGAGGCGCTGCGCGCGTTCGAGTTCCGCGTGGGCGCGGCCGACCGCGGCTCGCCGGCGCTCAGCAGCCAGGCGCTGGTGCGCGTGCTGGTGGGGGACGCCAACGACAACGCGCCCTTCGTGCTGTACCCGCCGCAGAACGGCTCGGCGCGCTGCCCCGAGCTGGTGCCCAGGGCGGCCGAGGCGGGCTACCTGGTGACCAAGGTGGTGGCGGTGGACGGCGACTCGGGCCAGAACGCCTGGCTGGCGTACCAGCTGCTCAGGGCCACGGAGCCCGGGCTGTTCGGCGTGTGGGCGCACAACGGCGAGGTGCGCACGGCCAGGCCGCTGAGCGCGCGCGACGCCGTCCGGCACAGGCTGCTGGTGCTGGTCAAGGACAACGGCGAGCCGCCGCTGTCGGCCAGCGTCACGCTGCACGTGCTGCTGGTGGACGGCTTCTCGCAGCCCTACCTGCCGCTCCCGGCCGCGGCGGCGGCCGAGGCCCGGGCCGACCCGCTCACCGTCCACCTGGTGGTGGCCTTGGCGTCGGTGTCGTCGCTCTTGCTGGTGGCGGTGCTGGGGTTCGTGGCGGTGCGGCTGGGCAGGAGGAGCCGGGCCGCGGCGGGGGGCGGCTGCTCGCTGCCCGAGGGCCCCTTCGCGGGCCACCTGCTGGACGTCAGCGGCGCGGGGACCCTGTCGCACAGCTACCAGTACGAGGTGTGTCTGACGGGAGACTCAGGGACCAGAGAGTTCAAGTTCCTTAAACCGGCGATCCCCAACCTCCCTCACCCGGAACGTAAAATGGAGGAAAGCCACACTTTTATGAATGGCTTTGAGTTCATTTAGGGATTTGATTATTGTGCAGAACTTTTATAATGAGCGCTATTTCTTTGTAAAATGTATTCATTGTAATGTAAAATTCTTTGTTTTGGGTAACTTCATTTTACTTAGAATTTTCAGAAGTTTTAATGATTTGCTTTCTGCTCTTTTTTATACTAACTGTGGGAAAAACTAAGGGAGCTAGGATTTGCTTGATCTTTCTTCCAAAATGCAACCTCAAGTAACTTATTCAAATATATAGCATTTTCCCTTCAAGCTTAATGGCACACTAGGCTCAGCCATATTCTTTGGGTGTTCTGAGCTCTAGATCCTCTCACTGAAACAGTTTTTATATGTTCGATAGAGAAAAATGCATGGTATAAATAAAAACCATGCATGGTTTCTAAGATGTCTTATTTAGATTTTTTTTAAAAAAAGCATAATCGATCTTGCCATTCTACTTTTCTGCCAAATATTTCAGAGTAATTCTTCTGCACTTAGGTTTTTTTTTTTTTTTTTTTAAGATTTTATTTATTTGACAGAGAAAGACACAGCGAGAGAGGGAACACAAGCAGGGGGAGTGGGAGAGGGAGAAGCAGGCTTCCCGCCAAGCAGGGAGCCCCACGCGGGGCTCAATCCCGGGACCCTGGGATCATGACCTGAGCCAAAGGCAGACGCTTAACGACTGAGCCACCCAGGTGCCCTTAGGTATTTTTCTTTGTAAACATTTTGAGAATGGTATGTATTGCTGGTAGATGTTGTATTAAAATAAATTCTAATCTTGTTTGGATTAATATATATATCCAGCCCACACTTTCATCTGAGAACTTCCTGAGACTTCCCAAGGGAAGTAATCACTACTGAGATGTTTATTTTACCTTTCTTTACCTCTCTTGGTCATTTTTTATTGGTCTTGTTATAGACTCCTGATTAAAGTAGGAATAGTCACATTCTCCAAGTCCCTAAGTTTGTAATTATGATGTAGTTCATCTATTTTTTTTCTTAATTGCTTGTAACTAGAAAATAAATATTAAGTATGGGCTGAGGTAGCCATGTTTACACTTGTGTAGGTTGGCAGCACAGAATGGCATGTAGAGAGGGAGGAAAGAAAGGAGAAATGGAAGGAAGATGAGAAGGAATAAGGGAGTGGTAGAGGCAGAAGCCTAAGAAACAAAAGAGACTAAGAGTCACTTGGTTGTAGACCTGTCAGTTCCTGATTCCAGGGTTCCTAAGTCCCTATTGTCTAATTGTCCTTGAGCTCTACAGTAAAACTCCAGTTTCCTAATAATAAAACTCCTTTATTTAACCTATCATGGGGAGAGTGCACTTCTTGAAACCAAGAGTCAGAAAAGATACATGCAATCTTGAGTACTCAATTAGACTATTTACCATAAAACCTAGGTCTGTTATTGCAGGCTTTTAATATTAACATAATCAATAAATGGAATAAAAAATGTACAAGCTTAGAGATAACTAATCTATACTAGAAAATTTTGTTATAAAACTTAATTTTGTAAACAATTTATGAGCTCTTTCAACTGAAAGATACTACAAAAGATTTTATGGAATATTTTGTTAACAGGTTTCCCTCCATTTATTTTGTTCTCCAGGATTAGTTTTAAAAAGTAACACTGAAATTGTTATTGTTTGGATGTCTATACATCATACCTTCCTTATCATGTCTTTCTTTTAAAAATAACTGAGTTCAATGTGAGCAAAATTATTTTATCTTCTAATGTAAAATCCTCAGGATCTAGAAATAATCCAATTTATAGATTATATGGGTTAATTCATGATTTCATTAATAGTAATTTGATTGACACATACTCTATTACTAGAACACTCAGGAAAAAAAATTCAAGCTTCCTGCCAAATATATGGGCATAAAACTTTCTCCTTAGAAAAGAAAATAAAGAGAAAATTTATCTGGGAGATGCAGATGGGAATGAAAAACTAATTTTGATCCATTCACTTACTGACATAGGTACCAGCTTCTATCTATTAATATTTTAAAAACTGCATGGACACGAAGGGCACATTTTCTTGGACGTTTGATTCCATAATAAAGAGTCTGGTCCATGACCAAGACCTTTCTATAAGGAAATTATCTATTAGATTTTAACTGTCAACAGCATGTTCTCATATTTTGAGTTTACATAATCAATTTGTTTCGCTATGTAGAGGAAAACATTCTAAAATAGAATGTTGACTTGAGTGATTTGTACCTTTAATAGAGTTAAACTAATATGCAACACAATTTTTATACTTAGCCCATGCTATTTTCCCAGTTAGCTAGGTATTAGTGTGCCAGAATACATGATAGTATCTATTATTTAAACATTATTAAAATATTGGCTAAAGTTTGATGCAGCTGGGGAGACCCAGGCCCCCTACTACAGATATTTTTCCCATCAATAGACGTAAAAGAACTTCAGTTTCATGCTAGGGTGCCAGGATCTCAAGCTATCTCTAAGGGATACGTGAGTTGCTTGCTAAAAATGAGTTGCAATCTTCCTTACTTGATATAAGTTTTACCTGCTCTTTCAGATGATTCCAACTTATTTTCTTCTGCACTTTATTACTTTAATGTCAGCCCTTTATGATCTTGACTATCCTACTTTTCAAGATCTCAGTGAATCACTGCTTCAACATGTGAGTCTCTCGGTTTTAGGAATAAATATAGATGTCTTTATACATTGTTTTGGACAATGGAACAAGTCAATACAACATGCTCACAGAGGTACAGAGATATTCTCCTTAGACAGTATTTACAAATAAGTCATCCACAACCCCTTAAGCTTTCTATTGAGTTTGCATAATAAACTAGTTCTAGCTGGTCCATCACTTAAGTTTATACTCCTGAAACATGTGAATGAATCTTTTCATCTACTGTGCTGGCAGTGAGTTGAGTTTAATTATGTATATTCTTTGTTTAGGAATAGACTGATAGCTACACATCATTTTCTAGTCAATTTCCCTGGAGAGCAGAGATTATACAATATAGTAGACATTATATTGTAAACTCCATGAGGTCAGAAAGGTATTTGTATTCCCAGCACTTAGTACAGTGCCTGACATATAACATGAAATTGATAAGCATTTGTTGAATAAACAAATACAGTTGGCTTTGTTTTTGCATCCTTTCCCAACGTGTCTGGCACCATTTCCACATTCATAATCTCATAGGAAAACAGAAGTTATCATTTTATTTATAAACCATCCCATATATAATCTGTGGTTTGTTTTTGTGTGTGCGTAAATCAAAGTTAAGTGTGATAGGTTTTGTAGCAGTTTCAGCAAACTAGGTTTAAGTACAACACATGGTGGCGCTGTAAGCTAAGGCTGCGAAAAACAGACCTGCGGATGGTTACTGCTGGGGTAGTCGTACACACGTAAGAGAAGATAATTCTTTACGGAATTACCTTGCGGCAGGGATTGACTCCCGGAGCGGACTGCCTAAAGACCAAACAGGCACTCAGATTCTAAAGACTTTTGGCGTTGGAGAAATGGAGGCTGAAAAGGAACGCTTTCCTAGACTAAGGCAAGTTCTTCTCTTTGTTTTGCTGGCTCACACTTGGGCGGAGCAGGAAGATTATCGTATTGCTGAAGAAACAGAGAGTGGTTCTTTTGTGGCAAATCTAGCAAAGGACATAGGGCTAGCGGTAAAAGAGCTCTCTTGGCGGAGGGCTCGGATCATTTTTACAAATGACAAAAAATATTTTCAGCTGAACCTTCAGACTGGAGATTTGAGAGTAAATGAGAAACTGGATCGGGAGGAACTGTGTGGCCCCACTGAGCCTTGTGTACTTCAATTCCAGGTGTTACTGGAAGAACCTTTAGAGGTATATAGGTATAAGCTTTTGGTCACTGACATAAATGACAATTCCCCTGTGTTCCCAGAAGCAGAAATGATTTTGAAAATCATGGAAAATACTCTTCCAGGGACTGTGTTTCCCCTGAAAAATGCACAAGATTTGGATGTCGGTATCAATAATATTCAAAACTACACCATTTATCCCAACTCCCATTTCCACGTTCTTACGCGCAATAGCGGTGAAGGCAGGAAATACCCGGAACTGGTTCTGGACAAAGCCCTAGATCGAGAGGAGCAGCCTGAGCTTAGGTTAACTCTCCTGGCAGTAGATGGTGGAGTTCCTCCCAAAACTGGGACAGCCTTGGTCCTCATTGATATCTTGGACATCAATGACAATGCCCCTGAGTTTGTGCACCCACTCTATCGTGTGCAGATCCTGGAAAACAGTCCTCTGGGATCTCTTATTGCCACTGTTTCAGCTAGAGATTTAGACACAGGAACAAACGGCCAAGTGTTCTATTCATTTTTTTACAGTGATGAAGAGATTAGTAGGACATTTGCACTTAATGACCTCACAGGAGAAATTAAAATAATTAGGGAACTAGATTTTGAAAAAATTATGTCATATGAGCTGGATATTAAGGCCTCTGATGGGGCTGGTCTTTCTGGAAAATGTACTGTCATAATAGAGGTGGTGGATATAAATGACAACACCCCAGAACTGACGGTGGCTTCACTTATAAGCGCCATCCCCGAAAATTCCCCTGAGACCACAATAGCTCTTTTCAGTATTCAAGACCGAGACTCTGGGGACAATGGGAGGATGGTTTGTTCCATCCAGGAGGATGTTCCATTCACCCTGAAACCTTCCGTTGAGAATTTCTACAAGCTAGTAACAGAAGGAGAGCTAGACAGAGAGAGCCAGGCCGAGTACAACATCACCATCACCGTCACTGACCTGGGCACCCCCAGGCTGCAAACCCAGCACCACATGACGGTGACGGTGTCCGACGTGAACGACAACGCGCCGGCCTTCAGCCACACCGCCTACACCCTGCGGGTGCGCGAGAACAACAGCCCCGGCCTGCACATCGGCCGCGTGAGCGCCGCGGACAGAGACGCGGGCGCCAACGCGCAGGTCACCTACTCGCTGCTGCCGCCGCACGACCCGCGGCTGCCCCTGGCCTCGCTGGTGTCCCTCAACGCGGCCACCGGGCAGCTGTTCGCGCTCAGCTCCCTGGACTTCGAGGCGCTGCGCGCGTTCGAGTTCCGCGTGGGCGCGGCCGACCGCGGCTCGCCGGCGCTCAGCAGCCAGGCGCTGGTGCGCGTGCTGGTGGGGGACGCCAACGACAACGCGCCCTTCGTGCTGTACCCGCCGCAGAACGGCTCGGCGCGCTGCCCCGAGCTGGTGCCCAGGGCGGCCGAGGCGGGCTACCTGGTGACCAAGGTGGTGGCGGTGGACGGCGACTCGGGCCAGAACGCCTGGCTGGCGTACCAGCTGCTCAGGGCCACGGAGCCCGGGCTGTTCGGCGTGTGGGCGCACAACGGCGAGGTGCGCACGGCCAGGCCGCTGAGCGCGCGCGACGCCGTCCGGCACAGGCTGCTGGTGCTGGTCAAGGACAACGGCGAGCCGCCGCTGTCGGCCAGCGTCACGCTGCACGTGCTGCTGGTGGACGGCTTCTCGCAGCCCTACCTGCCGCTCCCGGCCGCGGCGGCGGCCGAGGCCCGGGCCGACCCGCTCACCGTCCACCTGGTGGTGGCCTTGGCGTCGGTGTCGTCGCTCTTGCTGGTGGCGGTGCTGGGGTTCGTGGCGGTGCGGCTGGGCAGGAGGAGCCGGGCCGCGGCGGGGGGCGGCTGCTCGCTGCCCGAGGGCCCCTTCGCGGGCCACCTGCTGGACGTCAGCGGCGCGGGGACCCTGTCGCACAGCTACCAGTACCAGGTGTGTCAGGGGAGAATCTGGGACCAGGGAATTTAAGTTTTTGTTCTGTTGTCTCTACCCAACAGAGGTCTGTGAATGGTGTGGAGGAAAGCTCAAATTTTGTAAATAGTTTTGGATTCAATTAGGAACTTGGGTGAGGGAATTTGGGTTCTTTCTAAATATGATAGGTCTCCATTACTGTTTTTGGTCCGTATAGAATTTCTTGGATGATTTGCTGATTCCATATTCCTATTAAGGGGATTAGAAGTATTCTTTGAGTATATACTCATATTTACTCTTTTTATCATTTCTATTTTGATGGAGACAGAGAATTTTCAACTTCATTGCATTACTTAAAAGTCATGAACATGTGTTGAATTTATCAACTTTTCATTATCAAGCACTGTTGATTTGAAGATGACTCCAGCCCCATCCTCTATTTGATTGTTATATGGAAACTCTAAATTTTTGATGTTGTGGTTACTTAGAAAGCATCATGATATTAATATAATGAAGTATTAGTATAGCTTCTGTTTAATCTGATATTAAGCCTACCTGTTTTAAATCTTTAAATGGTGAAATGTCTGCAAAAAATGCATGTTTTTGTTTCACAGTAGTATTAAATAGGAAGGCTACAATTTCTCCCATACTTAAGGGCTTTTCCTCTATATCAACCTTCAGCATATCATATATATGAGTATTATCAAAAGATTATTAGATTATTTCAAGATATTTAAATGTTAGATCCCTTGTGGTGTCTGTCTAGCCCACCCCATCATTTCCAGGAAACTTCTCTCTTCAGTAGAAGTATATGGTTGCAGCCATGTTTATTTTATTTCACCCATTTCCCTCTGTGTCTTCAGAGAATCAGACAAGGTGGTATTGCTAATCCAAGCTGAGTAAATCTCTTTTGTTTAAAAAATGGCTTTAGAAATCAGACCTAAAATAGTTTCTATTAGGAACTTAACAAGAAAGTGATATCATGTTGGCTAAATACATGGAAACAAAAACAGAAAGTCAATGCACTTAGAGACAAGAAGAAAGGAGATGCCTAAAAAGTAACATTATAGATTTTCCAGTACCTTCCAAGTTGGCTTTCTCTCTTAGCTTTTTGGAAACACGTATGTGCGCTTTTAAGAAATCTCCCTTTAATTATGATAGCTAAGTGGATTCTTCCCTTGTCAAAAGCATGTTTAGATTCTTGCATGGATTGAACTTTACTCTTCATTGGAGATTTTTAAATTGGGGTTTTTATATTAATATAATAATATTTGGGATCAAAAGTTTGTGGAATATTAGTAGTCTGTAAGGGACAAGTACAAGCTTTGGTTAAAATATATGATTTTGAGAAGAACTGATGGCTATTTTAAAATTTTACAGGTTTTTGAGTGTCTTACGGAAATTCTTTGAAAATTCTCCTATGTAAGAAAGTTTTGAATATTATTACTGTCATAATAGCATTAGTGTGAAATAACACTGACAATGCAAAATGTGTTCTAAAAGAGATGTATACCTTATTTGTAGGATCGTTACAGCCTGTTAGTTCTGTTTTGTTTTGTTTGTTTGTTTGTTTGTTTGTTTTTTAGAATCTATTCCATTACATAGGGGATGCCAGAGTATTTTGCCATTTAATGAAAAACATTTAGATCATTCTGAAATATTGCACATTACTTTTCTAAAGAGCATAGAAAATGGCTACTTGGGAACATGATGTTTTGTTTATCTAGCTCATATAATGTACCAGGATCCCAGCAAAAAAGGGGACTTCTACATTAGGAGGAGACTCCATCTATCAGAATTTTAAAATTAATTGTGATTTATTGATTGATCTGTTAAGCAAATATTGGTTGAGCATCTACCATGTGCCAGGGACTGTTCCAGATATTGGGAGATGTGGACATGAACAAAACAAAGATCTCAAGCACAAGAAAGACACAGAAAAGAAAAAATTAAATATGTATATATATATATGCTGTATCAGATAAATGCTAAGGAGGAAAAGCAAGGTAAAGAGATATAGGAAGTGCCCTCATATGCATTTTCCCATAGTTTGAAAGTTTTATAAAATCATAATTCTCTGACCTTATGTCAAAATGATATATATCATAATTACATAAACTGTAATTAACTGGTAGCTTTTTCTTCGATGTGATTCAACCAAAGGGAACTACTGTTCTGTCACATTCACTGCCTAGAATTTGAAAGAAAATCTAGAGGAATTCATCCTTTTTGCTGAATTTTTAGAAATCACATAGGTATATACTGTTATTTTCACAACATGATTGATCCTTATTGTCTTCTTTCACTTCTCAACTTTCCTAGCACCTCACCCAGACTACAGGTTGTAAAAAGTAGGGATCATGTTTGGGTTGTTCACTGATCTATCAGAACTTAGTACATAGATACCAATAACACTTCTTTGAGTGAAGGAATGAATAATTGTAATTACATGATTTTCTGATTACATCGCCTCCTTCAACCCATTTCCAAACTCCTAAGAGCCTGCTGGATTATCAGAGGATACAATTATAGCGATTCTTTGGGAAGACAACGCATGGTGGCGCTGCAGGCTAAGGCTTAAATTTTTTTTAAAAAAACAAGCCCAGGAACTGCTATGAACTCTACTTCCGATCTATAGCTGAAGACAAAAGCCTGCACGCAGAGTTCAGGACCGGTACATCATGCTACTCACCAACATTTCCGGACAGGTAACCAACTGAGATATCCATCACTGTCCCTAAGGTAGAACTGGGCCCTGTTTCTGGAAAGGAGTTTGTGGAAGTAAAGATGGAGGCCGGAGGGGAGTGCTTTCCCAAACAAAGGCAAGTCCTGATTTTCTTTCTCGTATTGGGGGTGGCTCTGGCAGGCTGGGAATCTCGTCGCTATTCCGTGATGGAGGAAACCGAGAGTGGCTCGTTTGTGGCCAACCTGGCCAAGGACCTGGGGCTGGGAGTGGGGGAGCTAGCAGCACGGGGAGCCCGGGTGGTCTCTGAGGATAACGAACCCCGCTTGCAGCTCGATCTGCAGACCGGGGAGTTGATATTAAATGAGAAACTGGATCGAGAGGAGATGTGTGGCCCCAGAGATCCATGTGTAATGCATTTCCAAGTGTTATTGAAAAAACCATTGGGAGTATTTCGAGCTGAGCTACTGGTGAGAGATATAAATGATCATTCTCCAGAGTTTCCTGAAGGAGAAATGACTCTGAAAATCTCAGAAAATAGCCCCCCCCGGGACCGTGTTTCCTCTGAAAAAAGCCCAGGACTTGGATGTGGCCAGCAACAACATCCAGAATTACAGTATCAGTCCCAACTCTCATTTCCATGTTTCTACCCGCACCCGGGGCGATGGTAGGAAATACCCAGAACTGGTACTAGATAAAGAGCTGGATCGCGAGAAGCAGGCAGCTCAGATTAACCCTCACAGCGCTGGATGGAGGCTCTCCACCCCGATCTGGCACCGCCCAGGTGCGCATCTTGGTCTTGGACATCAATGACAATGCCCCTGAGTTTGCAAAGACACTCTACCAGGTGCAGGTTCCAGAGAACAGCCCTGTGGGCATGCTAGTTATCAAGGTCTCCGCTAGAGATTTAGACACTGGGACAAATGGGGAGATATCCTACTCCTATTTTTATAGTTCTCAGGAAATAAGCACAACTTTTGAGCTAAACAACCTTTCAGGAGAAGTTCGACTAATTAAAAAACTAGATTTTGAAACAAGATCTTCATATGAGCTGGAAATAGATGCGTCTGATGGTGGGGGGCTTTCTGGAAGATGCTCTGTCTCCATTGAGGTGGTGGATGTTAATGATAACTTCCCAGAAATAACTATTTCATCACTCACCACTCCCATTCCTGAAAATTCCCCTGAGACAGAAGTGGCTCTGTTTAGAATTCGAGACCGAGACTCGGGGGACAACGGAAGGATGACTTGCTCCATCCAGGATGATCTCCCCTTCCTCCTGAAACCATCAGAAGAGAATTTCTATACCCTGGTAACAAATGGGGCGCTGGACCGAGAGAGCCAGGCCGAGTACAACATCACCATCACCGTCACTGACCTGGGCACCCCCAGGCTGCAAACCCAGCACCACATGACGGTGACGGTGTCCGACGTGAACGACAACGCGCCGGCCTTCAGCCACACCGCCTACACCCTGCGGGTGCGCGAGAACAACAGCCCCGGCCTGCACATCGGCCGCGTGAGCGCCGCGGACAGAGACGCGGGCGCCAACGCGCAGGTCACCTACTCGCTGCTGCCGCCGCACGACCCGCGGCTGCCCCTGGCCTCGCTGGTGTCCCTCAACGCGGCCACCGGGCAGCTGTTCGCGCTCAGCTCCCTGGACTTCGAGGCGCTGCGCGCGTTCGAGTTCCGCGTGGGCGCGGCCGACCGCGGCTCGCCGGCGCTCAGCAGCCAGGCGCTGGTGCGCGTGCTGGTGGGGGACGCCAACGACAACGCGCCCTTCGTGCTGTACCCGCCGCAGAACGGCTCGGCGCGCTGCCCCGAGCTGGTGCCCAGGGCGGCCGAGGCGGGCTACCTGGTGACCAAGGTGGTGGCGGTGGACGGCGACTCGGGCCAGAACGCCTGGCTGGCGTACCAGCTGCTCAGGGCCACGGAGCCCGGGCTGTTCGGCGTGTGGGCGCACAACGGCGAGGTGCGCACGGCCAGGCCGCTGAGCGCGCGCGACGCCGTCCGGCACAGGCTGCTGGTGCTGGTCAAGGACAACGGCGAGCCGCCGCTGTCGGCCAGCGTCACGCTGCACGTGCTGCTGGTGGACGGCTTCTCGCAGCCCTACCTGCCGCTCCCGGCCGCGGCGGCGGCCGAGGCCCGGGCCGACCCGCTCACCGTCCACCTGGTGGTGGCCTTGGCGTCGGTGTCGTCGCTCTTGCTGGTGGCGGTGCTGGGGTTCGTGGCGGTGCGGCTGGGCAGGAGGAGCCGGGCCGCGGCGGGGGGCGGCTGCTCGCTGCCCGAGGGCCCCTTCGCGGGCCACCTGCTGGACGTCAGCGGCGCGGGGACCCTGTCGCACAGCTACCAGTACGAGGTGTGTCTGACGGGAGGATCTGGGACCGGCGAGTTCAAATTCTTGAAGCCTATCTTCCCCAGTATTCTGAGCCAGGACCTTAGGAATAAGTCAGAGGGAAATCCAACCTTCCGGAATAGTGTAGGTATCTGAAACTTTCCTGTTCACTTTTCCATTAGTTTTGTCTCCTTCACCTTTCTGTTTCTTTTTTTAATCCAGTAGTAATTTTAATTGTACTTCCCCCCTCGTTTTTCCATAGTAAATTTACTCTTTGTTTTGTTGGCCTGATTATTCTATGATTATTTTTCAATTATTGTAGTATTGACAGAAATTCTGTATTAGAAAATTAATATTTCTGTTTAAAATTTTTATACTCATTCCTAAAAGATAATATGAAAAGGAAATATTCATTCCTAAAGGATAATATGAAAAGGATAATATTGTAGTATTGACAGAAATTCTGTATCAGAAAATTAATATTTCTGTTTAAAATTTTTATACTAATTCCTAAAGGATAATAACCCCTCAGAATAAACAATTCTAATTTTCAAGTTATTTTACTAACTATATGTCACTACTTAAGAATGTCTGATTCTTGGGGTGCCTGGGTGGCTCAGTTGATTAAGCATCTGACTTTTGATCTCAGCTCAGGCTTTGATCTCAGAGTCATGAGTTCAAGCCCCATGCTGGGCTCCGTGCTGGGTGTGGAGCCTACTAAAAAAAAAAAAGAATGTCTATTTCCTTTTTACATACTTCATTTTTAAATTTCTGGAAGCCTTTTAGGTTTTATTAGTAACACACTGATGACTTTTGCATAACTCCTTAGGTGTCTGGGGTGGAATCAATTTGTATTTACCCATGTCCAGTTTTTCCAAGCTCTTTTTGGATTTTTGTTTTACAAATAGACAGCAGTGTGTATGTTTTCATGCAATTTATTTCAAAAAGTCACACTTGGAAGCATTAGATTTTCATTCTGAAATACATATGTCACATCATGAAAAGATATCTTTATCATGCATTCTTTCTCAGAAATTCATGTTGAAAAAAACATATGGGTTCTTACATGTAACTTATGATCCTGATAAGAGTCCTAGACAGATTTTACTGATACCCAGATTGTATTTAAGGTGTTCCTGTATACTCTAACAGCTCTGATTGCAGAGTAATTCTCAAGTGACTTCCAGGTTCTAGGCCTAGAGGAGCTTTTGATGGCACAACATGTCTGTATCTACTTGCCTTTGGATGATGACATTGTACTTGTTGTTAAGGGATTTGAAAGAAACTACATTGTATAATTAATATTAGTTAACCAAGGAAAACTTATTAAAGGATATGTTGGTGAGGGTGTTGAATGATTTGAAGAAATAATCAGCTCTGTTGTCAGGACTCCTCTATCTCCAGGAAGCCTCTTAATTTTGCAGATGCTATAGAATGGTATGGTTGGCAGAATAATGGCCCCCTAAAGGCATCTACATCCTAACTTCTGGAACCTGTAAAATGTTAAGCTATATTGTAAAGAGGAATTAAGCTTCAGATGGAATTAAGGTTGTTAATTAGTTAATCTGAAATTAGAGAGGATATCCCAGATGCTCTGTGTGGGCCTGATTCATCAGCTGAAAGGCCTTAAGATCAGATCTGAGTTTTCCCTGAGATGAAAAAGAAATTCTGCCCGTGGGCAGGGGCTTCAGCTTGTGCCCCAGAGTCTCAGCCAGCCCTTTAACTGCCTGTCCTAAGATACTGGACTTGCCTAGCCAGCTCCCACAATGAGTAATCACTTCCTTGCAACAAATCTCTCATTATATATCTCCTGGTTGTGTTTTCCCGGTTGAACCTCAAATGATACAGGTTTTGGTACGTGGAAGTGGAGTACGGCTGTAACAAATAACTAAAATCATAGAAGTTGTTTTGAAACTGGAAGGTAGGTAGTAGAGGCTGGAAGAATTTTGAAAAGCATGATGGAAAAAGCCTAGATTGCTTTGGATAGTAGAAATATGCATATTAACAACTCTGCTATCAAAGTCTCAGAAGGAATTAAGGAGCATGGTGGAGAAAACATATGTTGCCATATAGGATACCTAAATCAGGGTGCCTGGGTGGCTCAGTAGGTTAAGTGTCTGACTCTTGATTTTGGCTCAGGTCATAACCTCAGGGTTGTGAGATCAAGCCCCACATCTGGCTCCATGCTGCTTAAGACTCTCTCTCTCCTTCTCCCCCCACCCCTTATTCTCCAGTGCTGGCACTCTCTCTCTTTTTCCAAAAAAAAAAACCCCAACAAAACAAAAACCTAAACCATTGTAAAGAGAATGCTGGTAGAATTATGGATGTTAAAGTCACTGATGGTGAGGGATCAGACAGAAATCAGGTGCAGCCCGGTTTCTTCTTGCTGCTTATAATGTGAGAGGAATGAGATAGATGGAGGGAAGAACTGTTAAGCTCTTAAATGGGACTAGAACTTGGCAATGTGGTAACTTCTTTGACTATTCAGATTGCACACAGGGCTCAAATTAGGAAAGTATGTTCTATATCGAAAGCCAAGGGGTCATAAGACAACCTTTTACTAGTGCTTTGAAAGGATTAAAAGATAAGAGCATTCAGTCACACAGCAGGTTCTTTAAAGAGGTTAGGCGTGTGATTCATGGAAATCCCAGCCATCCCAGCAGAAGTCAGGAACAGACGAGATTACCCAGGAAAGAACTGTGAAGCCACCTATTGTCAAGGAGAGAGAAGCCCTGTGACATACACAGGGACTCAAAAAGTTCTTGAGAATGTTATACCAGCAGAAGTATTAGCAGCTTGAACTGAAGGGACACAGAGAATGATATAAAAGAAACCCATTGTACTGCACAATTCTATAAGCAAGAAATGATTGAAAAATTACTTAGCCAAAAACACATGCTACTCTCTCATGAAAAAGGAAGGATGGCTCATAAGACAGAGCCTGGAGCCCAGAGAGTAGAAGTCCAAACCCAGGCCTAGAAAGGAAATAGAGTTTTCCTGGATGGATTTCTACATTTCTTGGGGAATATGACTATTTCTATTTTCCATTTTCTGTTTTTGAACTGGAATGGCTAATAACTGTTATCCTATGCCTGTCCCATCATGATACAGTTTGGAGAGCAGATAATTTGTTTAGTTTCACAGGTCCACAGATGGAGAGGAATTGTGCCCAGGATGGGTAGTACCTAGAGTCTCACCCATACCTAATTTAGATGATGTAGATGGTGAAGTTTTGAGTTTTTGAGTTGATGAAATTTAGGTGAAATTATGGACTGAGTTGATACTGTAATGAGATGAGATCTTTGGGAACCTTGAGTGTATATATATATATATATATATATATATATACATTTTTTTTAGGTGGGATGGATGTAAATCTTTGGGGGCCAGAGAATAATGGCCCCACAAAGTATCAGTGTCTTAATCTCTGGAACTGTGTCATTTGTTATATGGCAAAGAGGAATTGGAGTTGCTGATAGAAAAAAGGTTGACAATCAGATGACCTTAAAATAAAGAGTTACCCTAGATTATCCTGGTTGGTCCAATGTAACCACAAGAGCCCTTAATGAGAGGTGGTAGAAGCAGAAGAGTCAGTGTCAGAGTGATGTTTTACAAAAGATTCCACCAGCCTTTACTGACTGAAGATAGAAGGTAGCCTCCAGGGAAGGAATGCAGGCATTCTTAGAAGCTAGAAAGGCAAAAATAAATTCTCCATTAGGGCCTCCAGAAAGGAATGCAGCCCCACCTTAAATGTAGCCCAGTGAGACCCATTTTAGACTTCTAACCTCTAGAGCTATAAGATAATAAACTTGTGTTTTTAAGCCACGAAGTTTGTCGTAATTTATTACAGCAGTGATTGGAAACAAATACAAATGGCTTCTAAAAAAACCATTTCTAAACCATTTTTCTTTGCCTTCCCCTACTCTAGACCAAAATATTCACGTTTCCATAATCTCTTGCAGGTAGGAGTATTCTAGTACTCAGCTATTGCTAGTGATTTAAAAATGCAGTTGGGGCATTGTGCTTAAGGGAAATTTTTTCTTTCCTTTTTTTTTTTTTAGCTTTTTCTTTTTCCTTTTAAAATTGAAGTGTAGGGGCGCCTGGGTGGCTCAGTCATTAAGCATCTGCCTTCAGCTCAGGTCATGATCCCAAGGTCCTGGGATCGAGCCCCGCAGCAGGCTCCCTGCTCAGCCGGAAGCCTGCTTCTCCCTCTCCCTCTCCCCCTGCTTGTGTTCCCTCTCTGGCCGTGTCTTTCTCTGTCAAATAAATAAATAAAATCTTTAAAAAAAATAAAATTGAAGTGTAGTTGATACACAATGTTAAATTAGTTTCAGGTGTACAACATAGTGATTTAACAACTCTGTACATTATGCTTTACTCATCCCAAGTGTACTTACCATCTGTCACCTTACAACACTATTACAATACCATATTCCACTATATTCCCTATGCTGTACCTTTCATCCCCATGAATTATACATTCCATAACTGGAAGCTTGTATCTCCCACTCCCCACTCTTCTTCACCCCTTCTGCTCATTCCCCCATCCCTTCTGTCTGGCAAACACTAGTTTGTTCCCTATATTTGAGTCTCTTCTTGTTTCTGGTTTTTTTGTTGTTGTTGTTTATTCAGGGTTGGAGTTTTTTTTAGAGTCTACGTGTAAGTGAAATCATATGGTATTTGTCTCTGTCTGAGTTATTTCACTTAGCTTAATACCCCTAGGTCCATCCATGTTGTTGCAAATGGTGAAATCTCATTCTTTTTTATGGCTGAATAATATTCCATTGTATATTTATACCATTGTATATTTATACCACATCTTCTTTTTTTTTTTTTTAAGATTTTATTTATTTATTCATGAGAGACAGAGAGAGAGGCAGAGGGAGAAGCAGGCTCCCAAGGAGCAGAGAGCCCGATGCGGGACTCGATCCCAGGACCCTGGGATCATGACCTGAGCCGAAGGCAGACGCTTAACCATCTGAGCCACCCAGGCGCCCTATACCACATCTTCTTTATCCGTTCAACTATTGATGGACTGTTAGGTTGCTTCCATACCTTGGCTAATGTAAATAATGCTGCAGTAAATATAGAGGTGCATGTATCTTTTCAAATTAGTGTTTTTGTTTTCTTTGGGTAAATAACCA